CGAGCACCAAATGGTTTAGCCCACCTAGTTGCCTGAGATGGAGGCATCCCAAGACGATGTGGGAGGTCAAGGAGACAGTAAAGGCTGGGGTGTGGCTTGGTGATAGAGCAGTGGTCTAGAGTTTGTCCAGCTTGGGCAGGAGGATTTCAGAGAGGGTTACAGTTTCAATGTCCCTTAAAGGTTCCTACATAAAGACCTTGGTGCCAGCTACAGGCCTTTGGGGAGATGCTTGGCTCATGAGGACTCTGACACCATTGAAAGATCTATAACTTGATGGCATTGTTGGGAGGTGCAGAAACTAACAGGTGGGGCCAGACTGGAGGAAGTTGGTGACTTCAAGCATGCCTAAAAGGATATCCATGATCCTGTCCTTTTCTGGTCTTTCTCTGCTTCTTAGCTACCATGAAATGAGTGATTCTAACTGGCCACAGTGTTTCACCCTCGACCTAGGTTAAAAAAAAAAAAAAGAAAAAAGAAAAAGATAGACCCAGTAGGCATAGACGGAATCCTTCAAAACTCAGAGTCCAAGCTGGGTGGCGCATGCCTTTAATCCCAGCACTCAGGAGGCAGAGCCAGGTGGATCTGTGTGAGTTCGAGGCCAGCCTGGTCTATAGAGGGAGATCTAGGAAAGGCACAAAGCTACACAGAGAAACCCTGTCTCAAAAAACCAAAAAACAAAACAAAACAAAAAAAACCCTCAGAGTCCAAATAAATCCTCCACCCTTCTCAGTTGTGGATTCCAGGCATTTTGTCATAGAAAGGAAAGCTTACACGGGTGAGATTTTAGCTTCCTGAGTGCAGTTTAGGGGTTTATACTAAGTGAGAGTGCTTAATGATACAAAAACACTTCAATCTACCCCATGTGGTCCATGGCAGTCCTGGCGTGAAAGGTATGTTTGTGGGCGTGGTCAGACGCTGCTCTCTGCCTCACCTTAGTCCCGCCTCTTCAGATCCCCAGTGTGTCTAGGGTGACAGTCAGCCTAGCTGGAAATACTTGTCAGCCTACCTCACAGCTAGGGGTGGCCGTGTGGCTAGGGCTGGCCAGTGAGATGAGGATAGAGATTCCTAGGGAGGGCCACTTCCCTGAGAAGGCTTCTGGCTTTTACCCTCCATGTCTTCCTGCCTGGAACAGAGATGAATTCCTGGGGCCACAGCCACCAGCTCAAGGCTGGGAAAACAGAAGTCCCATGCCAAGGATGGGGTAGTTGGGCCTTTGGTGATTCTTTAAACAGTCATAGTAGTTTCCAGCTTCACAAAAAATTCCAAAGTTCCTATTTGGTGAACCAGTTATAGAGGTTTCTGTTACATGTAGCCAAAAGCAAAACATTACTGATATATCCAGGTGTTATTATGAAGAATGTCAATGCCATTACTACCCATAACACACTGTGCACCAGGCACTGAACCAACTGCTGCATACTCTGTCTTATTCCATCCCCAACATCCTGGAAACTGGGTGTGGTAATTATCACCATCATGCTCCAGATTAGGAATTTGGTCTTGGAAGTATTAGGGAGCTCATGCAGGATTCCAGCTAGGGAGAGGTACAGGCAGATGCCCACACCTCTCATTTTCTTGTCTGTTGACAGGTGTAGTAGCTTAAAAACATGACACCCCCACTCTGCCTATCAAGATATGGGGTCTGCCCTCTAAAGCCCAGGGAACATCATGGAAGAGGGGCAGCAGAAAGAATGCTAAGGGCTAGAGGAAGGCATGGAATGTTGTGGAACAATGTCTTCCAAGCCTGACATGGCTGTTACACTCTTGAATCCACAGGAGTTGTGGTCACTTGCACACAAGTACAAGATTGGGCCAACCAACAGTCCATCATGTGAAGCCCCGCCTCTCCTGACGGCTAATGGTCCTTGGGGAAAGGAGGGATGCTTTCCTCCATGGTGTAGCTATTCATAAGCTGCTGTACTTGGGTAGACAGCCTCTTACATATGCTCTGCAGGCAACGCTGATGAAACCACTGCATGTACATGCACGCACGTGTAGTCGGAAGTTTTTCTGTGTCCCAGCTGGCTGGCAGTCAGGACAAATCTCTCCCGCTCATGTCCCCAACTAAGCACACAGAGGCTTATATTAATTATAACTGCTTGGCCATTAGCTCAGGCTTATTACTGACTAGCTCTTAGCTCTTACACTTAATTTAACCCATAATTCTTATTTATGTTTAGCCACATGGCTTGGTACCTTTTCTCAGTTCTGCCTTGTCATTTTGCCTCCTCTGTGTCTGGCTGGTGACTCCTGACTTAGCTCTTCCTCTTCCCAGAGTTCTCATTGTCTGCTTATCCCCCCTATACTTCCTGCCTGGCTACTGGTCAATCAGCATTTTATTTATCAACCAATCAGAGTAACACACATTCACAGCATACAGAACAACATTCCAGAGCACACATGTACACACACACAGTTCTGTGACAAGACTTTTCCTGAGGAGATGCAACACACATCTATTCACCCGGATAGGGAGCTGTGACAAACCAAAGTACGGGTGCCATCAAGGTCCAACTTGGTGAACCAATGAGTTTTAAGGGGTTACTTACAGGAGTATGGGTGAGGGGTTGCTTATAGGAGCAAAAATGTCTCAAAGACAGCTGCATCACCAAAGCCCACCCCAGCATGGGTGACAGCTCACAGAGCTGGGAACCTGGAGCACACTGCACAGCCTGCAGGCAGCTCAATGGGTTGAAAAGCATCCTTGCATGTAGTTCAGTTGGTCTAAACCTCTTTCAGGCAGCTCAGCTGGTTTCTGCTTCTTTTACCTCGCTTGGCTGAGGGTCTTCTTTTTAGCTCAGCTCAGTTCAGCTACTGAAGGACTCTCAGCTTTCATTGCTTACTTGGCAGGGAAGGGACTAGTGAATCCAGTCAGTTTCAGGGACTTCCTGAAGCTGTTTTGAGTTGTTTACCTTCCTGTTTAAGGAGCTTCCCTGCAGGAGGGAGCCTGTGTTCAGAAGAAGGACTAACTGGGAAGGGGAGGGGCACCAGTAGGGATGAGACAAGAGAAGGGAACAGGGGTAACTGTAACAAAATTATATTATAGACATATGTGACAATGTCATAACAAAAACTGCTACTATGTATAATTACTATATACTAATAACTTTTTTAAAAAAAGATCTAGGGTCTGAGGGGCTGGAGAGATGGCTCAATGGTTAAGAGCACTAGCTACTTTTCCAGATGACCCAGATTCAATTCCCAGCACCCACATGGCAGCTCATAACTGTCTGTCAACTCATTCCAGGGGATCTAACACCCTCACACAGACATATATGCAGGCAATACACCAATATACATAAAATAAAAATAAATTATTTTTTTTTTAAAAAAAAAGACCTAGGGTCTGAGCCAGGAATAAGGCTTGTAGCACACATGAGGCTGAGGCAGAGGGACCACAAGTTTGAGGCTCTCTGGGCTACCTAGAACAATCCTGTCCATTGAGAGGAAATGAAATGAAATCCCAGCTCTCTGTCCCTGTTCAGTGAGTCTGGGCAGGCAAAGGAGCAGCTCCAGTCACGTGGTAGAGCTGACAGTCTGTGACCTTAGACCCTGGGCCACAGGTGCAGCTGCTTCTGTTTGCTCTCTGGGTCCCACTCGCTTTGGGGGCTCATAGTTGCAACTGAAAGAATTTTGGTGTCCTGGGGCTACCACACCGAGAGGAAGCTATGGCTCTGGAGACCGGATGAAGTACTTCTGACTGGTCTGTTCTCTCTGTTGGCCAGGTCCAGGGAGCTGGTCTGTAAATGAATTCTCACGAGTCCAGAGCCATCAACTGTAGCCCAGTCCTGACAGATGACAGCTTCCCAGGTGAGACTGTAGACACCACAGAACCAGCCCTCGCTGTGGTGGACACACCGGCTGGTGACAGTGGTTGCGCTGTGGCTCACGGCCATGCCTGCAGATCCCCCAAGCCTGTCAGCACTGTGGGGTTCACTATGCTCTGTGATTCTAGGCTGCTCGGTCGCTTCAAATGCATCTCCCCTGAAGCAGTGATGTTCAGCACTTGCTCCCAGGAGCCTGCTAGTCACTTTTTTTTATCAATAGTCAATTCCTTGGTGATGGGGGCCTCTGCTGAGGGACCCCTTTTTGCAATGTGAATCCTTGTCACTCACTTTGAGGTCACTGTGACATCATGCCTCACACTTCTACAAAATTGATTTAACACACATATCTTTTTGTAGTAAGGAACATTAGATGGGATGCCATGCTACGCAAAGGATCATTTGAAACAGTCAAGTCACCACCCAAAAGCTCAACAGGTTGGGAAAGCTGAGCGGGAGGCGATGCCGATCTGTCCGGCCTTAGCTGGGAACTTGTGCTCAGGTGACTCATGTTATCACCACCCCTTGCCTAATCTCCCCATTCACACTCTCGTTGGTGTCGATGTGGAGTTCAGACAAATTTTACTTGCACAGAACCTGTAGGGACTGACTGGAGTTTAATATGCTCAGTCCTCAAATCTGGGTGGCTAAGTGGGGAAGTGGGGCAGAGGGCAAGTACGGGAGCTTGTGCCACTCACGAAATGTGGGCGCTGGGGTCTCCCTGCCAGGCTTGAGGAAGGACGCAAGAGGGACAGCAACAGTAACAGTGGCTGTGACGTGTCAAGTCCCAGCCGTGTGTCTGCCTGGCATCCTTCTCTGCTCCCTTCCACCAATGGCACACTCTCTCTCACGAAGCCGGTTTCAGAGAGACAGCTCCATCTGCACAGCCAGGATTAAGATCTTTCCAACCAGACAGGCCCAGCTGGGTCTCCAGCTCCCATGTAGCGCAATCCCACGCTGACCCACCTTAGTGCCTCTCCTATTTCCTATCTTGTCTCGGATCCATTCTCACAGGACAGCTGGCTGCTAGTCTGCCATACTGTGCTACCCAATAAGTCGATTTGCCGTGATCACAAACAGGCATCAGGAGCCTTTATGTTTTTGGTTGTTTGTTTTTTTATTTACTGGGGGATTGGACATGCATGCCATCATGCCTGTGTGGAGGTCAGAAGACAACTCAGGAGTCAGTTCTCTCCTTCACCGTTTATGATCCAAGGATCAAACTCAGGTTGTCAGGCTTGGTGGCAGGTTTCCTCATCCTCCGAGACATCTCACCAACCTTTGAAACAGCTTTGCCGAATGCTTGGGGGGAAAGTAGAGCCTTGGGAAAGACCAGTGTCAATTCAGGGTGGGGGCAGGGAGGATCTTGAATCCGTCTCCGAGGTCACCTCCCACACAGGGTTAAAACAGCTCAGCATCCTTCCGGCTGAGCGGAAGTGAGGTTCTGAGAGGCGAGTGGGCTCCAGGGGGATGTTTTTCTTCTCCATTTGTCTGCTTGTGGCTGGCCCATAAAATCCACCGGAACTCCATGCTGGACTGAGGAATTCCCGCTGAAGGGGCTGTGGAGAGTCCAGGCTGGGGGTGGGGTAGAGCCAGCAGGGATCTAACAGACTACCTTTGAGGTCCCAATTCCCGGCCAGTGATCTCTTCCACAGACCACCTCGGATTCCTGAGGAGACAGAGCAAGAGGATACAAGGAAGAAGTGATCCCTTCCTTACCTGTTCTCAAGTGAGCGGAGACAGGAGGAGTTGTTACCAGCCACTGGCCTGTGCCTCAGGTCCCTCTTCTAAACCGCAAGCATCTCTGCCCCATGCCCTCTTCTGTGCAGAGCCCACGGTAGTACTCTGTCTATCTAGCAGGTATCTCACAGGCATTTCCCACCTGGAAAAGACAAGGCAAATGTCAACCTATGGCACGTGGATGGGGTGCTCTGCCCCACGTCACCCACTGTAAAGAGCAATGCAGAGTTCCAACCTAGACAGCAGGTGCCAGGGTCTACCTCACCACCTTTCCCTCTCTCATTTCTGCGCATGTGCAGCCCCAGTCTCTGTCCCCAAGGACATGGTCATTTAAGATGCTGCTTGTGCTTGCCTCCTCCAAGAAGCCTGCCTTGGCTCACCAGGTGGGCTGCCTACACACCTGAGATGTTTGGCCACTGGGCTCTGAGCCCCTGGGAGCAGAAACGGTTTTAAGTCCATGCCGTATCTCCAGCACCATTCCACACAGCCGTCTTCAGCTGTCCCAGAGATGCAAAGTGTTTGTGATGCTTTTAGAAAGTGGTCCCCCTAGAGAAGTGAGGGGGGGGTCTGTGTCCACTCTACTCGAGTCTGGGTGGGCTTTGTTGCCTTTGACCAACGCAAAGGGCCAGAGGTGACTCGATGACATTTGAGGTGGTTCCCTGGCTGTCCAGTTCTCAGAGTACAGAGCTACAGAAAGGCCAAGTGCTCTGAGGGTGCCCAGACCACTGGCTCGGCTGCATGGAAGCATCCCTGTCATTAGTCTTGTTTGCTAAATCATCTGGTCCCGAGGCCCCTGACAATTGTAACTGTCACCTGTAGACTCTTATCCAGCCTTTGAGGTCCAAGATCCCTTAAGGTTACGACAGCTCCATCCCTGCTGTGCCCAGCCTGAACGCACGAGCTGATGAAATTGGTGTCATGTTGAGATGCTTTGTATGCATGCAATCACTGCTACCATGGGGACCTGCTCCTGCCTCTCCTGGGAGGATTCCTATAGCCCAGTTGGTCCATGGTCCCCCATTGCACTCTGTTCACTGTGCAGTGTGTTGCTGACTTGGGGGCCACAGAAATCCTCTGGATGCCCCCCCCCCAAAACCCTCCTTTGGTTCCCAGATCACTGGAGCAACAACCAGATTATGACCACACAGGGCTCCTGACCTGTGCAATGGTCCCCTTTCCTGGGTCCCGCACCTCTCTCCTGGGTCCTGCACCTCTCTCCTGGGTCCCGCACCCCTCTCCCGGGTCCCACTCTCTCTGTTTGCCAGTGTTCTCCAACTACACTGGTCTCTGCTGCTCCTCAAACACCATGTGCTCTGCTAAAGGCCCATGCACTTGTGCTGGACAGTGCTCCATGGCACGGAGAGTCCTCCTGGCCCAGTCCCTCATCTGTCAAGTATCTATGTTGCCTTCTCTTTGTTGTATTTAACCCCATAGCTCTTAACTGCCTAAGACATGAGGCTGTATTTACACATCCATTATTCCTTCTCTCTGCTCTGCATCATCCTCTCCATCCCAGAAAGCCAGCCATACATGGTGGGAATCTTCACCTATTCATGTCTTACCCTCCCCTGAGTAAAAGATGAACTGAGGGAACCCGAGGGATGCTGGTGTCTTTTCTGCTCTCTGTCTGGGGAGGTGGATGGAGCTTTGAAAAGGGTACAGTGGAGAGGCTGGGCTTGCCTGATATTGCCAGGATTGAAGAACACTCCATGGAAGGGGCAGCATTGAGGGCCCTGAGGACAGGAAAGGCCGGGAAGCCTTTGAAGCTGCACACCCAGGCATCTCCCATGCTGCCCTCCTTCCTGCTCTGTCTCCAGCCTTGCCCATAAACAGGATCTCCAGGCAACTGCCCGAGAGCCCTTCCAGGGCTCCAAGGGCCTGGACTGGCTCCTTCCTGTGTTGTAAATTAGTTTTCTTATAACTGCAACATCCTGCAGTTACCGAGGGAGTGAGGCAGACAGATCTGTAGGGAAGAGCTGTGCCTGGCCCAGAGCAGAGTGCCACGTCTCTGTTGCTTCTCGGAGAAATGGGGCTGACAGGAGTGTAGGCTGCAAGGTAGGCTGCAGAGTGTGAAACGCCAAAATCTTTGTAAACAGAAAGGCTCTGGGGACCTGTGAGTGGGAACAGGCACAAGGGACAAAGCCCAGCTGGGGATCTTACACAGGCCACCAACAATGAGTGCTGCTGAGGGATAGGAACCACAAAATTCTTGGTGCCCAGAGAGCACACAGTGGGCGCCAGTTAATTAACAGTAAGCATCACAGAGATGGGTTGAATCAGATGTTCATGAGAGACCTCTGGGAGAGGGGGACTGGAAACCTCAGTTTATATGCTCCTGAGGGAACAAGGACATTTGTATATATTTCAGTATAGCCATAGAAACTTACTTCCATGCCCCCAGCAAGCCCATACCTGGGGCATGAGTGGAGTGCAGTGTTGGAACAACCGTATGCATTCATTGATAACATGAACATGAGCACATATATGCTGTGGGATATCTTTCTGTATGCTGTGAATGTGTGTGGCTCTGATTGGTTGATAAATAAAGCTTTATTGGTCTGTGGCAGGGCAGGATGGAGCCAGGCAGGAAGATCCAAGAGAGATAGTGAAAGGACAAAAGAGGGGCAGGAGAGACGCCAGCCGCCACCAGGAGAAGCAGCTGCCAGCAGACTGGTAAGCCACGAACACGTGGCAAAACATAGATTAATAGGAATGGGTTAATTTAAGAAGAAAGAGCTAGTTAGCTAGAAGCTTGAGCCATAGGCCATCCAGTTCATAAATAATATAAGCCTCTGTGTGTTTACTTGGGTCTGAGTGGCTGCGGGACCAGGCGGGACACAGGAAAACTTATGGCTGCACACACACAACCTATACACGTAGAAAGCAACAATACACTCAGCAGGATGTTGTATGCCACCAAGACATGCCTAAGGAGCCCTGCAGAGTGGATCCACAGAGGCCCAGAAAGTGGGAAGGGAGCCAGGTAGGAACTAATGTGGTAGGACTGGAGAGCCACATCGGCGACACACGTCTTCCAGCAAGGCCTCTTCATCCTCCCCAGACAGCCACCAACTAACAACTCGTATTCAAATGCATGCGATTCATGAGGGGCATCTCATCTAAGCCACCCCAAGGGATCTGAAATTGTCTCTTATAGAAACCCAGGAGCAACTGTCAAGATAAAGAGAGAGAAACACAGCACAGCAGGGACATGCAGGATCCAACAGTGATTATCTGTCAGGAACTAAGTTTCTTTCTAAAACTCAAGTGTCTAGCCGGGTGGTGGTGGTGCACACCTTTAATCCCAGCACTTGAGAGGCAGAGCCAGGCAGATCTCTGTGAGTTCAAAGCCAGCATGGGCTACAGAGTGAGTTCCAGGAAAGGCACCAAAACTACACAGAGAAACCTTGTCTTAAAAAACAAACAAACAAACAAAAAACAAAACTCAAGTGTCTACATTTAATTTTTTTTCTCTTTCTTTTAAAGATTTATTTTAGGGTGTAGTGGCTCATGCCATTAATCCCAGTACTTAGGAGGCAGAGGCAGGAGGATCTCTGTGAGTTTGATGTCAACTTGGTCTACATACTGAGTGAGTTCCAGAACAGCCAAAGCTACATAGTGAGACCCTATCTATAAAAAAAAAAAAAAATCATTTTATGTAGTTGTTGTTTTTTTTTTTTTTAACTCTTTGTTCTTTTGGAGGACCCGCCACCTAGCTCCCAAATAAATATACACAGAGGCTTATTCTTACTTATAAATGCCTGGCCTTAGCTTGGCTTATTTCTAGCCAGCTTTTCTTAACTTAAATTATCCTGTCTACCTTTTGCCTCTGGACTTTTGTCTTTGTCCTGTATACCTTTCTTTACTTCTTATTCTGTGGCTTGCTGTGTAGCTGGGTGGCTGGCTTCTAGATCCTCTCAGATTTCTCCTCCCATTTATTCTCTCTGCCTGCCAGCCCCACCGATCCTTTCTCCTGCCTCGCCATTGGCTGTTCAGCTCTTTCTTAGACCAATCAGATGTTTTAGACAGGCAAAGTAACACAGCTTCACAGAGTTAAACAAATGCAACATAAAAGAATGTAACATATCTTTGCATCATTAAACAAATGTTCCACAGCAAAAGTGAATGTAACACATCTTAAAATAGTATTCTACAACAATTTTACTTTTACTTATGTGTATATGGAGGGGGCATTGTGTATGTGAGTGCAGGTGCTAACAGAGGCAATAGAAACCTTAAGGCAGGGACCATCAGGGGAGCAAGGGCCAGGCCCATTCCAAAATCTCAGGCTTTGCCACCACTGCCACGGCCACTGCCACCATTCCTACCCTGTGTCGGTGGTGCACAGGTGGCTTCCCACAATGCTTAGGGCATAGGAAGAGAGTAGACATTGATGGGAAAGGACAATGAAACCAGGTGTACGGACCTGAAAAAGGAGCTGAACTCAGAAGCAGAGAGCGAGTGTAGGGGAGACCACACTGGAGAGAAGTGGCCTTAGCTGGGCTCTCTAGGAACAGTGCAGTGAACTCTGGCTGTCGGTCCTTTCCCCCTGTGCTCTTGCCTGCTTCTCAAGTTCCTCGTCATCTTTATGAGATAGGGTTTTACTCCATAGCCCAGTCTGGCCTTGAACTTGTGGCCAACCTTGGACCTCAGTCTCCGGAGTTCTGGGGTTACAGGCATGAGTTATCATACCTTGCCATCTCCTGTCCTAACCCCTTGAATAGTGCTGCTGCTACCCCAGAAATCCACTGGTCCTACCTTTGAGGCTTTGCTCTCCCCAGGGAGAGTCCTTTTCTCTTTTCATCATTTTAGGGGCTCCTACACATTCATCAAAACACAGCCTAGAGCCTCCAACCTCAGTGAAACCTTTTCCAGGAAGCCACGACTTTGGACTTCCTTTCTGGTTCGTTCTGGAGGCAGAAATTGAGTCTTGCTCAGGAGTCCTCAACCTATGGGTTGTGACCCCTTGAGTTTTAACGACCTTTTGGTAGGGTCAAATGTCCTGCATATCAGATATTTACATTACAATTCATAACAGTGGCAAAATTATGGATATGAAGTAGCAGTGAAACAGTTTTCTGCTTGGGGTCACACAACATGAGGAAGTGTATTAAAGGTCTCTGCCTTCGGAAGGGTGAGAACCACTGCTCTGGCTTATCTCCTTCTTCCCCATGTGAGTGCAGAGCCTGACCTATGGTAGGCTGTCCAACAGGACAAGGATTCCTCCCATTTTGCTCACCTTTTTATGCAGGAAGCATTTGAAATTGAATTTTTCATTAGCATACAAAAGAGAAGGCAGCCGCAAACCAGAGAAGCAATTCCATTCAAGTCCTGCTTACCCAACCAGTTGGGGTGGGGGTGGGGCACATGGAGGGTTACTTTCCGCAGAGGTGACTCTGGAAGCTGCATCACAGAAAGACCCACAATGGCATGGGTGATAACCACCAAAAGCTGCCTTGTTGGAGTCCTCTCTTCTGTGAGCCTTCCCCTCTTCCTCTGTTTCAGCTGCTACTGAGGCCATGTGTGTCTGGGCCGACGCGAGGGAGTGTGGTCAGGGGAGGCTTTGATGACTCCCCAGCACTTTTATGAGGGATTATAAATAAGCCCATCTGTGAGAGTCTCATTCCAGGAACCATGCTGCTAACAAGCATCAGCACCACCATCAACCACTGCTACCACCACCACCACCACCATCACCACCACCATCACTACCACCACCACCACCACCACCACCA